CCTATAGCTCAGCAGCTAGGGTGCCAGCCACATACACCAAGATTGGTGAGTTTGAACCCAGCCCAGGCCTGTCAAATAACAATGACAACTGCAACAAAAACATAGCCGGGCATGTGGCAGGCGCCTGTAGTCCCAGCTACTTGGGAGGCTGAGATAAGAGAAGCACCCTAAGTCCAGGAGTTGGAGGTTGCTGTGAGTTGTGTGATGCCACGGCGCTCTACCAAGGGCAATAAAGTGAGACTCTGTCTCTATAAAAAAAAAAAAAAAAATGCCAGCTTATTTTAATTTAGACTTCTAAAAGCATTGTCTAACATTGCCTAAATAGCAACAAGTGAGGAATTCTGAGAGCTCACTTCTTTCCAAAGATTACCATAAGTGCTTTACTTTAAGTTGAGGGCAGCATTTCTTCCCGTCTTTTGATTTCACCTGCTTATTTCTCTTAAAAAAAGAAAAAGCCAGCTTGGTGCCTGTGGCCCAAGCGGCTAAGGCACCAGCCACATACACCTGAGCTGGCGGGTTCGAGTCCAGCCTGGGCCCACCAAACAATGATGGCTGAAACCAAAAAATAGCCGGGCACTGTGGTAGGCGCCCATAGTCCCAGCTACTTGGGAGGCAGAGGCAGGAGACTTGCTTAAGCCCAGGAGTTAGAGGTTGCTGTGAGCTGTGATGCCACAGCACTCTACCCAGGGTGACAGCTTGAGGCTCTGTCTCAAAAAAAAGCCTACAGTTTTCTAAAGAAAACATTGCATTTTAAAATGACACTGACCAATTCCAGATAAATATAAATCGCTCAATATCTCATGTCTAATGTAAATACCTTGTAACCATTTAAAAATCAATTTACTGGGCGGTGCCTGTGGCTCAGTGGGTAGGGCGCCAGCCCCATATACCAAGGATGGCAGGTTCAAACCCGGCCCTGGCCAAACTGCAACAAAAATAGTCGGGCGTTTTCGAAGGTGCCTGTAGTCCCAGCTACTCTGGAGGCTAGGGCAAGAGAATCGCCTTAGGCTCTCAGGAGTTGGAAGTTGCTGTGAGCTGTGATGCCAAAGCACTCTACCAAGGGCAATAAAGTGCAGTAAAGAAACTTTGACTCTTAAAAAAATAAATAAATAAAAATCAATTTACTAAGCTGCAAAAACTTGTAGGAACATGAGAAAAGAGGCAATTGTAGACAGGTTTATTGTTGTTTTGATTTTTTTGAGACAGAGTCTTACTTTGTTGCCCTTGTTAAGAGTGCTGTGGTGTCATAGCTCACATCAAGCTCAAACTCTTGGGCTCAAGCAATTCTCCAGACTCAGCTTCCCAAGTAGCTGGAACCATAGGCTCCTGCTACAAAGCTCAGCTATTTTTAGAGATGGGGTCTTGCTCTGGCTCAGACCTGTGGGCTCAGGCATTGCATCCCCCTGGGCCTCCTAGAGTGCGGCTTACGGAGCCACCATGCCAGGCCTGTTGCTGTTTTTAGAGACAGGTCTTGCTTTGTCATCCATGCTGTGTAATGCAATTGTACGTCACTACAACCTTGAATTCTTGGGCTTAAGTGATCCTCCTGTTTTGGCTTCCCAAAATGCTGGTGTGAGCCACTGCACCCAGTGACAGTTAAGTTTAAAGATAAGGAAAATGTTACCCACAAGAGTTAGGATATGGTGGATAAAGTAATGGGTTCAGTTTCCTCATCTGCAAAATGAGAGCACTGAACTGGTTGCTCTCTGAGGCTCATTAATTCTAAGACTGTAATTATTCTGTGAAAAAATAGTCTATTTTGGATCAGACCTGAAAGTCCTTAAACTACCAGCCCAAATGACTTAATAAGTCACTACACAAACATGCTCGAGAATCAGAGCTTGGTAGCTCATACCTATAATCCCAGCTACTTGGGATGATAAGGTGAAAGGATTGCCTGAGCTGAGGAGTTCTGAGACAGTTCAGAGACCAGCTTGGGCAACATGATGAGATGCTCTCTCATTAAACAAAACGAAAAACAAAAACTGTGTTCTCAATGCTATGTGTAGAAACTAACAAAAACAAAAACACTTCAGATATGCTCAAGGAAAGGAAACTCAAAGACTAATCTTGTTATATTTCAATCAAGAAGCTTCCTTAACGACAATAAAAAATATGATTTTAAAAATGGGCAAAGGACAT